TGCTTCAGTTACCTGAATGTCAGATTGTTTCCTCATATTTGGGAAGTTTTCTGCTATTACTTCTGCCCATATTTTTTAATGTCATTTGTGTTGACTCCTTCCTTTTCATTGATGCCTATTAGTCTCACATTGTTCATCTTTGCATCATCATGCAGGTGATGGATTATTCTTTCCTGCATCCTCGTTGTTTTTAAGAGATCCTTCCTTACCTTTTCGCTAGCCACACCAGCATCTTCAAGATCTGAAACTCTGTCTTCACATTCACTTAACGGTTTTACAAGCTTGTGATTGAGAGTTTCATTTCCTCTATATCTCTTTGACTCTGCTTCATGCGATCTATTTCTTTCCTGTATTGCTCATTCAGGGAATCCGTCATTTTTCTAATCTCTTCTATTTTTTTTTATCAATTTCTTCTTTAGAAGCAGTTAGAAATTCTTTTACTGCAGTGTTTTTTTCAGATTGGGTTCTTGCCTATGTTTCTATAGTTGCTTCTTTACTTCATCTGCTGTCAGTTCTGAGAGTTCTTTTTTTATTTCAGAAAAGAATTGTCCTCTGATTTCCTCTATATCTTTCTGCTGTTGCTTATTTACTATCAACGCTATTAATTCATGCATTTGAGCCGAGCTAGTGTCCTCCGCATTTGTTTTGTGTGGGCACTGGGTTTCTTCCATATGTTTCTGCATTTGATTCTTTAGTGCAGATGTTATTAATTCAGGGATTTCTTTTTTCATTTCTAATGTGAGGTCTTCTATATCTTTCTGCAGCTGTTTCTTTATTTCAGAAGCCGTTGATTCATTGCTTTCTGTTGTGTGATTTCCAATTTGTTCTGTGTTAGTGACCTCTGCACTTGTTACTGGTTGGCTTGGGTTCTGAGGTTGCATTTTGTTCCTTGTCGTCATTTTGTGTAGCACTGTGTTCTGCCCTTTGTTGTAGATCTTTGCTGTAGTTATAACCTTTGCACGTACTGAAGTTCAGGTTCAGGTCTACAAAGTTTGGACTTATCCAGCTGCGTCTGGCTTGGGTCTGGCTGCTGTGCTCAGCTCCTTCCCGCTGCTGCCCTTGAGGGTGAACCTGTTGTGCCCCTGTGGCAAGATGTTCTTCTCCTGGACTAGCTGGTTGGATCTATCCTCTACACTCTCTGCAGGGATTGCAGCTGCAGGATTATACCCCTGGTGTGTGTGCCAGGCCTGAGCTGTGCCTGGAGGGGGCAAGGTGAAGTAGGGGGAAGAGGATGCTCTCCCACACACTCACCAGACCTGGTCTAGGACTGCGTCTCGGGGTTCCTGGAACATGGCAGAAATTCCTACTCGGCAGGTGGGGTGGGGGAGGTACTGCGGAGTGGTGGGGGGCAGCCCAAGGGGGTGGGAGAGGGTCCAGCCCAGCTATGCCTGGGCTGGGACTGGTCTCGCCAGCGCACAATAGCAGGAAGCTCTCCACACACTCACCGGACCTGGGCTAGGACTGGGTCTGGCGGTTCCCGGAACTCGGCAGAAATTCCTACTGGGCGTGCGGGGTGGGGGAGGTACTGTGGAGTAGTGGGGGGCGGCCCAAGGGGGTGGGAGAGGGTCCGGCCCACGCTGCGCCTTGGTTGGGACTGGTCCCGCCGGCGCAGAATAGCAGGAAGCTCTCCACACACTCACTGGACCTGGGCTTGGACTGGCAATATATCTTGTTTTAGCATGTAGGCAGTTCTAGCATTCTTAATATCAGTTCTTTAAAAGTGAAAATAAAAAATGTAGGCTTTTATAATGAGAATTGAGTTTCTTAATCACAGAGATTACATAGTAACTTTTTCATTAATGATGTATTTCATCTGAAAAAGTCAAGTAGAGTACTTGTCTAGTATTATTACCTGAATTTTTATAGTCCGGACTGTGGAGAAACCTTTAGAATTTAAAATCCTTTGCTGTTACCTGTAAGAATGAAGATAGTAGTCTAAAATAGGCTACTCAGCATCATTGCTTTATGTAGTCATTAATTGACAAAAAAGCTTTAAACATACACCATTTTCCAGATCCTGTTGGGGGCATTTAAATATATAAAGATGGTTAAGACAGAGTGCTCTTCCTCAGGCTACTAGGGAGAAAAATAAATAACTGCTTACAAATTTGTAATTTACTGTGATAAATATTGTGTTCTGTGCACCAGCAAATTAGAGAGTAAACATCTATCTTAGGAGAAGGGGCAGGTTTCTGAAGAACATTTGTGAGCTGAGTCTCACAGATTAAGATTAATGTCAGTTTCTTCCAGTGCTACTATGAAAGGAAAAAGAGTAATGTCCACAAAGGGCTATACAGTAGTGTGGCTTATGTGAGAACTCCCAGAATTAGGTTCTTTAAAGAAGGTTGGATGCTGAGAGCACTAGAAAGTATATGCCAGGATTAGTTCTCTACTCTTTGTAGAATTTTTTTTTTTATTTCTACATTTACCCAAGCCATTTATTTTATATTTTATATTTTTATTTTTTTCATTTATGTATTTGGCATAGGATCTCACTATGCAGCTCTGACTTGTAGTGATCCTCCTGTTTTTAGCCTCCCCAGTGCTGGGATTACAGGTGTGTGCCACCACATCTGGACTTGGTTGCTGGCTCAGTGTGCTCCATGCGTGGGGCTGGCATAGCATGTATGACCGGGATTGAACCTTGGTCCCTGTGCTTGCCAAAGTAGGCTTTTAGTCTGCTGAACTATCTCGCTTGCCTTTACCCAAACTATTTAATATTCACTACATTGCTTGAATATTTGAAAAAGTTAACATGAGAGATTTTAAAATCAGTTCTGTCATTGATTAAGTTAATAAATATATCCTGAACATCTGGACATTGCACATGATACACATATTTTTTTTTCCTTTTTTTTAAAGGATATTTAATTATTTATTTATTTTTCTGTATTTTAGGGTCTACAGGGTGTTCAGGGTCTCACTAGTAGATTGGACTCGTAGTGATTCTCCTGTATACAGCCTCCTAAGAGCTGGGATTAGAGGCGTGCACAACCACTTGAGGTCTCAGTGCTCCCAGGGGGAGGGGCCAGCATGGCAGGCCCAGGGATCAAACTCCCAGCCCCTGAGCCTCCTTGCAGCCACTTTAATCTGCTGAGCTATTTGGCTGGCCCCAGATATTTTTGTTTAAAATTTTTTTAACTATAGTGCTGAAGGTTGCTGTTCAAACTCATATGTAAAAGTAAAATAATAGGGTAGAAACTTGCTATTATGTTCTAAAGTGGTAGAGAAATTATAATGACATATCTATAATTGTGTGGTAGTGATATTAGGAACAAATCCAGTGATGTTTTAGTGTCACAAGAATCCAGGTGTTGAAATTATCATCTCATGTTCTTTTTGTCTATTATCCACAGAGATATATAATCAGGTAAGAATGGTTCTAAGGAGCTCAGTCATTCATATTGCCTTGATATTCACATGCTGCTAGTCAAATCTTTATTATTTTTAATAAAAATAAATTAAGAACATCTAGAATTTTTTCCTTGAATGAGCATATATGAATGGAAGTGGTAAATGAAAAATATACTTTACCATAATTTCTGGAATTAATAGTGGTGCTGTTATATTTCCTGATATTCTTATGGTATTTCTTTTCGTAGACAAATTGATGATAAACCAGAGAGGCCTTCAGTAACGTATGCAACATATCAAGGGCGCAGACAAATTAGGAAATATTTAAAGAAACAAATCATGTTGGAAGCTGTAAATCCCTTAGACAGAGAAAATGAAAGTTCTGACACTAGTGCAAACGCATGTATTGGCCCTGGAAGTGAAATGGAGGCCGGGATAATGCTGTTGTCATCGGCTAGTACAGACGTATCCATGAAAGCCTGTTTGCTTGGAGACCCTTTAGAAGACTCTAGTTATAGCAAAATAAACCCCAACACAGAAAGCCATCTGACCTATAACTCAGAACTGCAGAATGTTGCATTTAAGGATGTTTTAAATAAAAGTGATCCTGAGGGACCTGAGAGAAGTCAGTCATCCTCGTCTGTGACTAACTCCAGCTGTGCTGTTGGAGAATCTGCCGAACAGCACCAGTGCACATTCAGTTGCATACCAGCTCCTCAGACTGATAAAAATTTGGTGTGTTCAACATCACTTGTAGAAACTAAGCACAGCAGAGTTCAGTGCAATCCAGAATTTCAAAGGAAAACTAAAACAGAAAATATTGCAAGAGAAAACTGCTCTATGATGAATGATGGGACATTAGTGCAAAGAGAAGAGCACATTCAGCCTCTGAGACCTGCTGTTCCTGATTTCTCTTGTAGTAAAAGTGACACTACCAGACTGGAAACTACAAATTTGTCAAGTCCAAATAAATCAATTAAGCATGAAGAGCTGCAGTTTCCAGAGATTAAGTGTTCTAACAAGCAAACTATAGATAATTCATCACTTCAGGCTATCAATGAGGTCAGCACTGTTGCTGTCCAGGAGCATGCTGTGACAGACACAGAACTTGTAAACAAAGGAACAAGGTTGTCTGCCCAAAACTCACATAAAAATTTTGCCATTACAGAAATTGAGCAAAAAACAGAAAGTGCCTCAGCTGGTGAATCCACAACTCCAGGTCATATAAAAACTCTAGAAGAAGACAGACTTGAGTCATTATCCAAAGATAGTGACCAATTGATTGAAACAGAAGCTAAAAAGCTTGATGTAGGGCCACTTGATAAATCTCATACTGTAAGAATAAATCAAAATGATCGAACCTCTGTAAAATTCAAGAGTGAATCATCAGTGTTAGAATATAAAATAGCACCTGGACTAAATTTTGAATTTAATGAAAATCACAGTTCTAAATCTCCTCTTTACTCTGAGAAAGTTCAACAAGCTGAAGTGTCACCTGGTGATAAAACATCTCTTAGTCTTGACTGCAAAAAATCAAATTTTCATACCTTACCTTCTGCCTTTGCTTCTGGAATTAACATGCTGGGTAACCTGGATTTCTCTGTTTTAAAGAATGAAGGGTCTTCTGTGCCTATTGAAAATGAAGATGCCAACATTGTTAGTTCCCATCAGCTTAATAAGTGTCCAGAAGAAAAGGTGGCAAATAATGTTGAAGCTTCAGACAGAAAGAGTCCTCCTCCTCCCTTTCACCTCAAACATACATCTAAAATTCTTGAACCCAAGGAAGTTCCAGAGATTAAGTGTTCTAACAAGCAAACTATAGATAACTCATCACCTCAGGCTGTCAGTGAGGCCAGCACTGTTGCTGTCCAGGAGCATGCTGTGACAGACACAGAACTTGTAAAAACTTATAGTAAAAACTGTAAGTTTCCTCCAGGCCCTGAAACCTGTGGCAGTCACTCAACTGTGATGGACCCATTGAACTTTGAGACTCAAAACCTCTCGAAAGTTCATGGCTGCATTTCATTTAAAGACTCTAACAAAGCACAGTTAATGCCTTCAAACACTAAAATAACTGATAACATGATAGAGAAGTCTGGTTCTTTTTCTTTGAAAACCAAAACTGATAACATCGTTAAAATTTTGCCAAAAACTGAGCTTGATGGTCAGAACAGAGCTCCTCTTGTTTCACATTATGGACAAGGAAAATCTCTATCTTTTTTAGAAGTATCTGTTTCCCAGCTGGAGCTGAAAGACATTTCTCAGGGTGAAATTTCTTTTTCTGTATCAGAATTTACAGATAAGTCAGAAAAACCTGTTTTCTTAGAATTAACTTCTTCAGAGTTTAAACAGGACAAAAATTCTCAGCTGATGGAGCATGATGAGAAACATTCAGATGCTGATTTTGAAGAGAATTGTCAGGCTGACGTTTCTTTTGCTTCTAAAGATCAAAAAATACAAGAAAGAGAGGGAGCTGCTTTAGGTGATCCTACTCTTCTTGAAAGTAATGTAGCTGGGATTCTACCTCCTGCTCAAAAGCAGCAAGTTACTAGGAATATGGCACAAATTTGTGATGCTAATCCTTGTATGACTCATCACTCTTTGGATATTTGTGGGACACAAATGTGTTCTAATCTCTCAGAAATGGCAGAACTTGGCTTAACTAAAATTTCTTCAGAGTTCCAAAGTACACAAATAAATTCACCTATTCTGGGTTCTGAGATCAATTTAAAAAGTACGGTGTTTACATTTCAGGATCCTGGCTTGCTTAATGTGTCTTCTAAACTGGGAGCAGAAAGAAAAGCCTTATCTTATAGGAAGAGTGAAGACACTCATTTTCTGAGTAGTAGGACTGATAGTGCATCTTCTCCCTCCCATCACTCTGAAGAAATTAACATGGCTGTAAATTCACATAATACTTCAGAACAATTTGACTCTGTGCAAGTTACCATAGATCTCATATGTGAAGGTGCCTCTGTAACTAAGTCACTGAACCCCAGTAGCTCCTATTTGGACCTAGAGACATCTATCCCAATTGTGGCAGAAGTGACTCCATTTCAGGAAAATGTTGGGATTCATACTGGTAGAGTCTTTCCTGATTTTCCAAACACTGCTCAGTTTGACAAACCCCTGAAAGCACAGATGGAAGCAGTTGCTGGAGCCTTAGTGTCAGTTAACAGCTCAAATCAGCAGTGTTCTGAATCATCTGCTGAGCGCACAGAAGCAAGGAGAAGAGTAGGTGACCAACTTTTGGACCTGAAAAGTGGTTTACTCAAAAAGGCTGATACATTTATTGAGGAGGTTTTTCATTCTGTCAGGAAAGAACTAAAGTCCAAAAAAACAATTGGTACTTGTGAGAAGCATTTAGCCATAGATGGTATAATGAATCCAAGTACCTTCCAAAAAGACATCCCTGAGAAAAATCCATCAGAAGTGGCATTAACAGGAATCCAACCGAAACACTGTTTGAAAGATCAGGGAATGGAAAACATGTCAGAAGTTGAAGAAGAGAAGGCCTGTATTTCACCGACTGTTGGTGAGACAAGTCTGCTTTTTTATTCTGATAGAATGAATGTGTCTCATTTGTTAGAAGATCAAGCTAGAGAGTTAGTCAATAAGGTTATTTGTTCAGCCCAAGAAACTCTGAGATTTGATGCCGTTAAAGATATTGACAGTACCTCATATTCTGAACTTCAGGCTAACCCTTCAAAACTTCTGAAAAGTGGCAGTGTTAAACCACATGGTATAGTTAGGGAGTTCTTGGTATCAGGAAAGGCAATAAATCAAAGCACATGTGAAATTAGTGAAAATAAAATATTGAATAGATTCTTATCCATAAGTAACTTAGTTAGTAGCACAGAGTCAGCTAAAGGAAGAGAAATTGTTCTCTACCAAAACTCCCCAATTTCTGGAAAAGGAGCCGGACAGTCTGATAGCATAAATTTGCAGAAATCAGATGCTATTTTACTACCTAAAGACATACCCAATAAAGAGTTAGATGATAGGGTAAAAACACATTTATTTATGAAAAAGAACTATGGGGTGACAACAGGAATAGAGGATGTGGATAATCAAAAAACTGGGACAGATGATGTGGGAAATGTTGTGTTAAATTTCAGATGGCCTTCATTTGTCAATGATGACATCCATGTACCTGGTACTTCCAAAAGCAGTTTTTCTGATAGTCTTGTATGTATATCTGAAAAAAACTTGCCAGGACATAGTAAAAGCATACCTCTTGTATTGTCAGAAATAGGGAAAGTACACAAAAAGGATAATGAAGTAAGTGTAGGAAAAATTGACCATATACCTTCTATGTTAGAAATGGGAAAAACAAATAGAAAGGATGCTGAATTGAACATTGTCAAGTATGAGGTAGTCCCTCCTGTGTTAGATATAGGAAAAGCATGTAAAAAGAAAGCTGAATCAAATATTACAAAAGTTGAGTCAGAAGTTCACGTTTTGAAAGTGGAAGAAGCATATCAAATGGATGCTGAACAGTATATAGAAAAATTGGAGGGATTACCTGTCACTTCAGAAAAGGTAAAAGCTTACCAGATGAAGGATACCAAAGGAGATATTGTGAAGCCTGAAGGGATACCTGTGACAATAGAAATGGAAAACAGTTACCAAAAGCATGCTGAAGGAGATGTTAGCAAGACTGTAGTAACATCTGTTACATCAGAAGTAGAAAATATCCACCAAAAAGATGCTGAGGAGATTACTGAAAAGGCTGACGAGAAAACTGTTATATCAGAAATGGAAGAGATTTATCAAAAGGATGACGAAGTGGGTATTGCAGAGACAGAAGTGACAGCTATTGGATTAGAAATGGAAAATATTTACCCAAATAATGTTGAAAGAGACAGTGAAAAATCTAAAGTGATGCCTACTACTTTGGGTGTAATAAGTATTAACCAGGAGGATGCTGAGGGGGTTACCAGAAAGAGTGTAAGCCCAGTATTGGAAATGGGAAATACTTACCAAGAAGATGCTGAAGAGATTAGGAATACTGCAGTGGTACCTTTTGTATTAGATGTGGGAGAAACACACAAAAGGGTAGCATCTTTCTCTTTAGAGTTGGACAAAACTTGCAGGAGAGATGCTGAAGAGACTAATGGAACATTTCAGTCTATGGCTCCTAAGGTAGAAATAGAAATGACATCATCCCCAAAGGATTCTGATGAAAATAATAGGAAACATGAAATATTACCCACAGTGGTAGATACTGAGAAAACAGATGGACCAGAACTGGACTTAACCATTACACAAGTGGAGGCCATGCCTCTTGTATTTGAAACTGAAAAGGTACCTCAAGATTATGTTGAAGGGAGTGTTGGAGAAACAGAGAAAGAGCTCACTGAAATAAAGGAAGGTTTGATATTACATACTGATAGGCTTGCATCACACTTCAGGGGCTATGAATCACCTACATTAAGTAAGGATTATGAGGGCTACCCTGCCTTAGCAATGCCAGATTTTCAGCCAGAAGATACAACAGTAAGGCTCAACAAAATAATGTCTGTTTCTCTAGTATATGACAAAAGGAAAGAGCAAGATTATAGTGATGAAAAGGAAGAATCTAATTTAGCCTTTGTTTCTCAGGAAGAACAAGAAAATTCTTCCTTTACTATATTATATGAGGAGCCCCTTCAAGGTGAGGAGAAGTATGCTTCTGCAGAAGTAAGAGGAACACAGTCTGTTTTGTTTCCTGATATTTATTCTGATGGCTTGCCTGTTCTAGCATGTGAAAGGTCTGAGAGCAGAACTGACCTTGTCCATCATTTTGAAAAAGATGTTAAATTAAGTGAGCCATTTGATAGTGATAGTTCAGAAATGTTCTTGTCGGTGGAGGCTAAAAGGTACAAAATTTATCCCTTGGTCTTGAGTCCCATTTATGAGGATGATAGTTCACAGGAGGATGTTCTATCCAGTGAGGTCTCACCTGGTCACCATGGCTCCATAAAATCAAGAGAAAGTACAAACCAGTCTGCTTCAGTCTTATCACTTCTCCAGTCTGTATCAGAGCGTTTAAAGATGAATTTCGATGAAGAGAGCAGACAGGTAGCTGAAGAAGAAGAGGAAGAAACGTTGCCTAAAGGTCTCAGAGCTCAAAGGAGGGAGCATGTTACCTTCCATGTGCCAGATTCCTCCATCACATTTTACCCAGATGATGCTGATGATGACCAGCGATGCACTGAAATTTCTAAGAATTCATATGCAATGTCAAATGAAACTACCTCTAATCTGCAAATTAGTCTGTGGCCAGAAAAGCCTTCATTACTACAAAAATCTGACCTTACTTCTAAATTGCATTCTTCTCTAAAGAGTGTTTATCGTCAGTATTTGCAGACTTCTCAGACTTATTCCTTAGAAAAAGGAGCCAAATTTGGTGGGACTTTTCAAGAACCAGTCTCAAAATACTTCCATGTTCAAGACAATCCAGACAGATTGAGCCATTATATAGAGGTAAGTTATTTTGATTATTAACTAGTGAAATACAGCTTTGGGTCATGAAATGATTTAAAATCTTATTTTCAAAAATTAGTGTTCTGGGGTTGTATAAAGTTTTATTTATTTTTTTTAAATTAAGTTCTTTGGTTGAAGTGTATTAGAATCCATGTGTCTTAGCTGAACCTTTACATGAGAAAACAAAATGGCTTAGTCAGATTTTCAAAGGCTCAGCAGAGAAACCTGTTATTTGACAGGGTTTTTAAAAAAGATTTATTTATTATTTATTTGGCATAGGGTCTCACTATGCAGCTCGGACTCCTATTGATCATCCTGTCTGAGCCTCCCCAGTGCTGGGATTACAGGCATGCACTGCCACACCTGGTTTCAGTGGCCAGCTTGGCATGGGACCCGTGAGACATGTGGTACCAGGGATAGAACCTGGGTCCTTGTGCTTGCCAAGCAGGTGCTTAGACCACCTAGCTATCTCTCCAGCCCTCACAGTTTTTAATTAATATTTTTCAACATAAATTAATGGATAACATTTCAAAATTCTAAAGATATTATAAGATCTGGATTGTGTGTTTGGATTATGTATCTCATGAAAATAATTTGCATGTATTTTCTTGACTTGGGATGATAGCTGGGTAATAAGCAGGGTGATCGAGCTGCCTGATTTGAAGAAGAGCTGAAAACAGTATGGCTGGAAAATGTTTTGAAGTCTACTTATATTTTTCTTTGGTTTAGAAATATGTGCATGTATAAAATAGAATATTCTTTGAAATTGGGACCTTCCTTTCTGGATGATCATGGAATTTTCTTGAAGATTTCCAAACCCTGTATCTTGATCTTAAGCAGTCCTAGTAGCAAATGGTAATAATACTTGAATAGCCACTAGTACCTTTTAAGTTGAAAATTGTTTTAGAAGAAATGGTAAAAAAAATTTTCTTTCATGATGTCCATTGCCTATCAAATTAAGTGAAATCTCTTCACTGTGGTTATAAAGTCCTCAAGTCTTGTTCAATCCAACTTTGCCTCCCCACTCTCTTGGCTACACATACTATATTTCCAACCACTATACTTTTTCCCCAAGATGTTTGTCTTCCTTGAATATTTTTACTCTATCATACTCCCCATTCCAACCTGCCACTTTTTAAAAATAGATTTAACTACTGTTTTTTAAGATCCTCTCACTACTACTTCTAAGCCTTTTCTAAACCTTCCTGTCCTATCACTTCATCTCTATACCTATCCCATTTTTATTACCTGACATTTTCTTTTTATTTTATTTTATGATTGATTGATCGATTGATTGATTGGCTCTCTTTTTGAGATAGGGTCTCACTATGCAGTTCAGGCTGGCCTTGTGCTCACATTGTAGCCCAGGCTGATCTCGAACATGTAACAACCCTCCTGCCTCAGCCTCCCAAGGGCTGAGGCTACAGGCATACACCACCATGCCTGGCTATTTTCTTTGTATTATATCTGTACATTTAACTTAGTCTTTACTTTAGAAATTACTCAGGTGTGATAATCTATTTCCACTGTATCACAGGATATCATATTGTTTTCTTCTTATTTGCCTTCTATCGATCTAGAGAAACATTTTGTTCATAATGGTCACTCATTAGACTGCATTTTGACTGCTAAGAATGTGAATTTCTACTCATGCTTTTGAATGCTTAAGTTTTCTACTTCTGTTATTTCAGAATGTTGACAAACAAACTCTGAGGTGTAACCCACGACCTGGGAAGGTAAGGTGAAAATTAAGTTTACTTTTCAGTTTGGAGAGTTTAAGGTAAATACTTTTAATTTAACTGACTTAAAAAATTATTTTTTAACTCAAAAAACTTGCCATCTGAAGTAATACTTGATTTTATACATCTCTAGGACATTTTGGGTTTTTAAATCCATACTTAGAATTATTGTGCCTGCCCACTTTATGTTGCAGATGGTTATCTATGATCTCCATGGAAGTAAACATAAACAAGAGATCTATCGCAGTGTTCCTGATGCTACAGCATGGGCTTTTCCAAATGGAGTACTGATAAGAGTTGTACGGGGCTGGTAAGATATCTCCTAAAATTTTATAGCTTATTTTCTAAAAGAGTATCTTCTAACACTTATGCTTTTTACATTTTTATTTAAGTCGTATTTTCTTCTGGTTTTTAATAGAATATTTTGAAACATTATTAGTGTTTTGTGTAGGTTGTTCCTTTTATTTGCCATCTCAGAAAGTGCAGGCTGATTTTAATACTTAAAGCTAGCAGTCACAGACCTAATGCAGACAGCCTGTATCACCTAAGCTGGTGGGTGTCATTCTCTAACTGTAGTATTAGCAGGCTGGCCTGGCAAGTGCACTTAAATGCCTCAATTGAATGAAGCATAACTTTAAAAATGAGTTCAGAACATATGGAATGCTAAAGAGTGTGAAGATCAGGGCTGACCAAATAGCTCAGCAGATTAAAGCACCTGCAAGCAGGCGCAGGGGCCGGGTTCGACCCCCCCCCCCCCCCGGGCCTGCCATGGCGGCCCTGCCCCCGGGGCGTGCTGAGATGGCAATTGAGACTGGTTATGTTGGCACACCCCTGTAATCCCAGCTCGTGGGAGGCTGTAAACAGGCAGATTACTAAGAGTCCAATCTAGTAGTGAGACCCTGAACACCCTGTAGACCCTTCCCTAAAATAAAAAAAAAGGATGAAGATCAAATGTCATTTGTATATTTGACAGTGTTTATTTTAGCATCTAGTCAGTATTCGTACTGTAAGCACTTTGATGTAGTGTTGTGCCCACCTGTACTTTTCAGCAAAATTAGGGTAGAAGTGTGATTTGGAATTATTAAACTATTTTTAATACAAATGTATAGTGTCGTGTATATAGCACACGTAAAATTTTGTGTACTGTTTCCAAGCTGTATGCACTTTCATTCTTTATACTGTCTTTCTGCCTTTATGTTAGCCTATGTTATTGTTTTAAAGCATTATTGGCTAATACAGGAAAATATCCCAATTTAAAATAAACTGCGATGAGCTGAGTATCATTTGTCTTGTGCTTCATTTCTTAGAAATATAAATATGACTGATCATTGCACTTATATTTGTTTAGCTGGATTTTATATGAGAAACCACATTTTCAAGGCCAGAAATGTGTGTTAGAAGAAGGAGAAAAGGTGTTAAATCGTGACTGGATTGTTCATAATAGAAAGCACCCACATAGCAACTTTGCATTGGGTTCTATTAAACGAGTCCTAAAGGTAACAAAACTGTTAATTTCTTTTTTTTCTGTTTTGTGGTAGTGTTATTGTTGTGTTATTAGGGATTGAGTAGAGAGCCTTGTAGCTACTCTACAATGAGCTATCTTTTTTCCTATTTTTATAATTTTCTCATGTAGAAAAGCTATGGTATAGCTTAGTAGTGCTTACAAAAAGTTGCTTTTTTCTTTTTTTGGTGCCAGGGATCAAACTCACAACCTTGTGCTTGCCAGGCAGTTGCTTGTGCCACTGAGCTCTCTACCCAGCCCATAGTTGCTAATATATTACCAATCATATCATTGAAAAAGTTAGACATATAAAATATTGTGGTGAATTGTAATTTAAAATTTGAATTGATGTGACCCGTAAAATGCCTCATGATGTATGTACCATGCATGTGTTTTCTGTAACTTTAGTAATATACTATCTAGGATATTTATGAAGAAAGCTATTTATTTCTATATATATATATTTTTTTTAATTTGGATTGCTACTCTTTAGTATGGGTGTATATGTACATGTGTGTTTCTGTGTATGTGAGTGTATGCGGGTACGTCAGAGAAAGGTTTAGGAGAGGACGCTAAGGTATTACTTTTTGTTTTTTTGTTTAAAACCTACTATTGCTAGGAGATACCAGGAATTGAACTTAGGACATTGTGCTGAGCTGAATCCCTGGCCCTAAACCTATTGTTGTAGATGAAGGTTTCCAATATAATAAAACATTTTGTGAGTAGTTCTGTGGTATTTTAGAAGCGGGGTAAATTATTGATAAGGATAGATCTCAGATAAGGACAGAATTTCCGCTCATGTTCTCATGTATTCTTAATACTTCTTTCAGCAGTAATATAATATATGATATAGTGTAGTCATTTATGTGACAGTCATGAATACATATTGTTACAATTTCAAGATATTGTTATATATTTAAAAATGAATGGAGGTGAGCCCTATCTTGATTTGGTTGGCATTATTATTAGCAACTATAGAAAAAACATTCAGAAAAATTAAAGGTTTCACATAGAAAAACTCAAGTTAATCATAAAGATGTGTCTGTATGTATTTTATATGAATCAAAACAGTAAAGAAATGTATATCAGTAATACTTGTTTGCCTTTGAACCTGATATGATAGTGGGCAGTGAACAGAAATGTAAGTGGTGTTACATCTTACTGTGTTGCTAAATTTTTGCTAGAAACAGCTGAGGTACCTGACCATAGTACAAGGGAAGCACTCCACATGACCTTGATGGCACACAGTGAAGAGGCACCTCACCCCTTAGAAAGTGGCACCTCATCTGGAGGAGGTTGCTTGTAATTTGAATCTTGAAAAAATAAGGGATTTTGTGATAAATGTGAGGGAGTTCTGGCAGGGCCATCTTTGACATATAAGGAGGAGGCATTGATGGCTCAGTGGTACTGAAAGAGATAAAGTTGACTAAAGTAGTTTAACAATAATCCATAACCGTCTGACCAACTGATGTTGATATTCAGACAGATAGTGAGGTTCAGCTCAACTTCCTATGTTATGGGGTAATAATATTAGTAAACTTCTCTTCCGGAGGGTTAACAACTTAAGTTTGCAGACCAAAAATTAGAGAAAAAGAAGGGCTGCAAAGACAGCCAACATTGTGGCCCTAACCCTTCAAGGTCAGTGAGGACTTAATATAGGGAAGCACTCCACATGACCTTGAGGGCACACAGTGAAGAGCACCTCACCCCTTAGAAAGTGGCATCTCATCTGGAGGAGGTTACATTACCTGTACTGTAACATCATGTAACTCAGTTGTGTCCCAAGTTTTCTGATCAAGGAGATTATGGGAGCCACAGAGAAAAGTGATCAATGATGTAGAGTACGCCTAAGGAGAATCACATGGAGAGAAAACATTCTCTCAGGCTTTCATAGAGAGCAAATTGGTCAAGCAATGGCTGTGACTCATGCACATGGCTGACACTGACAAAGGATCTACAAACTGTGGTACAGGGCTTCAGGGTAAATCCTGAGGGGACTTGACTGACTTTATCAGGTACAAAAGATACATTGCTTGTTACATAGGTCTTGCTTTATCTTGGTGTTAACAATCCAGCAGAAAAGTATAAAAACAAGGTATGAAAAGTAAAGCCATTATTTATATGCTGAGCTGTAAAAGGCTCAAGTCAACAACTTCTGACAATGCCAGTCCTATGGATAACCCACTTCTATTACAGACTAATGGACTATTTTGGATTATTTTGCTAAATTCACATACCTACGATGTTTAAATGGTAATGGAATACCCATCTCTGACAAAACCAAACAAAAAAAGGGGATACAAATGAAAGACCATTTTGTATCTGTATATACAAAATAGGACAGATATACAGCTACTTTCTCTTAATTCATTGAGAAGAAAGGTTTGTACTAATAGTGTTTGGGCAGGATATCTTGTCTGCCTCTTGTACTATGAATAAGCACTATGAAGACAGCAATATACATTGTATTAATTATTGAAACTCTCCTACTAATCGATTTTGAAACTGTCTCATTGCTATTTGTTTCTCAATAAAATTAATATAGAAAAAGATGACTAAAGCAGAGAGGGCAGTGTCAACTGTTAAAAGATTTTCAGTGACCCTTCAATTCTGGGAAGAGCATTTGAGTAGTCATTTAATCAGCTGACTTACTGGAAATTCCTTGAGATATGAATAGTTTGTAGATAGAGTCTCGTGATCCATCATCCATTGTAGACGGGATTGATATAACCTATGCTTTTGTTCCTTGCCTGTGAATATCAGGGAAAGCAGACAGACAGACAGACAAAAGATTTGGCATTTAACCACCATCCCATGCCCTCTAAAATCACACAAGAATCAGATCAAGTAAATTTAATGTGGTAATAGTAGATATATGAAAATTTGCTTAGAAAACATTATGAGAAAAACACAGCTTATTTTATTTTTTGTTTTCTCTTTTTGTTCTTAGAGTCATTTTGTTTTGTTTCTTAGTCTAGTGTGAGTATGAACAACTTTAAGTGAGGAAAGAAAATAATTTTTTTTTTCTTTTGGGGCAGAACCAGGGATTGAACCAGGTCGTTGCACTTGCTGGGGAAGTGCTTATTCCCCTGAACCATCTCCCTGGCCCAGGAAAATAAATATTAAAGAGAAAAGACATTAACATTATCTTAAATATTTTATGAAGCATCTGATATCATACTGCTTCCATTTCTCCAACAAAATTCTGCCTTTGTTTTCTGTATTTTAGGGAAGCATCAACAGGGTGTTCAGGGTCTCACTACTAGTGATTCTCTGTTTACAGCCTCCCAAGTGCTGGGTTTACAGGCTCGTGCCAGCACGCCCAGTCTCAGTTGCCATCGCAGCGAGCCCCAGGGGGTGGGGCTGGCATGGCAGGCCTGGGAATCAAACCCCCGGCCCCTCAGCCTGCTTGCAGGTGCTTTAATCTGCTGAGCTCTTAGTTGGCCCTCAAAATTCTGCCTTTGAATGACTTCATTTATGTTGCTGTTGCCTTGCCACACTCACCTGGGCCCGTACCAACTGTGTTATACATGTTAGTTTTAGTTGCTGTCATATAAGTAGCTAAAAGTCTAGTGTCCTTTAAAGATGATATTGCCACTAGGCTGTGAAAAGCTATAGAAAGTAGCCTGAGTTTTCAGGCTGAGGCTAAAAATTGCAGTTTTGAATTGTACTCAAGGCTCATCTTTGCCTCCTTTCACTGCCAGTGAAAGTAACTGAAAGTGAGGATGACAGTGCTGTGTGACTTTTGACTTAAGTGTTTTCTTTTCTTTTTTTTTTTTTTTTTTTGGCGGAACTGGGGATTGAACTCAGGCCCTTGCTCTTGCCAGGGAAGCACTTATTGCACCGAGCCATCTCCCCGGCCCCTCAAGTGTTTTCTTTTCTCACTTTAGAATAACTGAGAATTTCAAACTCATGCATTCACTCTGCCTTCAGTGACATTTTTCTTACGGACAGAAATTACTCAGGTTGTACCCCAACTAATGAGCCAACAAGACAGAAGTCCATTGTTAGATCAGAGACTTAAGATGGAAATATATCTTTCTGTTTTTGTTGCTGTAGTCCTTTTTTACTCTGTTTCTCTTCTATAACTTTGTCCCTATTTGTACTAATTATTAGAATGGCCTAAGCTTAGGAATTTCAGCTGAACATACTGTATTTGGAAAGTGTGGCATAACTAGAAGAGTATGGAAGAAAGCCAGTAAACTGTTGTTGCTAGATTACTGCAACATTTCCCCAGTTACTAACTAGTGTTTGCCTGTGTTTGTGAGTCAGTATCTAAACAGTTCCTTAAAAGTATGCTGTTCCTGTGAATAGCTGTCATGAGGGACAAAACATTGTAAAGTCTTTCTTCAGTCAGTTGAAGTAAACATTGGGCTTCTGGTAAAGGTAGCTGAAAACATGTGCCTTCTTAATTGTATTTTCAGTTTTTAAGCTGTCATTATGCTTTTACTTCTATACTGTTTCCTTCAGTTTTGTAGACATGAATGCTTCTCAGCTTTTTCCCTTTGAAAGAACACCACCCTAACATTGTTTGTATAATACAATGCAGAGGAAGCTTGTTTGTGTGAGACACTTAGTGATGTATTTTGTTACTGTACTGCAGATCCCTGGGGGAATATTAATGTGGCAGTATTTGAAATAATGTTACTAGGGCACTGTTATTAATAGTGTACAAAAGAACATTGAAGATTGACAGGTGAGTGTTATGGACATTCCTGGCTGTTTTTGAAATAAAATTTCAAAGAAAAATAAATTGTTATATTTTGACAATTTTAAATTATCCTTTTTCAGTATATTGCACTTTACAACTAACTTCCTGAAAATAAGCTGTATAGATTTGCTTGACTTTTATGTATTATGTCAGAGAAGTAGAATAGTGTATAGGGCATATTAATATACAACTGTGAGCTGCCATTATTTTAATGGTCTGTTTATATTCAGCATTTTTTGGCTTAAACAATATCACTTTGGACAGATAATTGTCATATTCTAGTAAAATTTGAGTTTTAGTTTCTATGTGTAATGTATGTAAATTCTGAAGGGTATTTTCATATTCTATTTAGCACCCTAAATTGCTTCAGAAAGTGAGTCAGAACTCGATTTGGGGAAAGTTTAAAGAATATAAAAATTGCAGTTTTAAAAGTATAGAATTTACAGTAAATATATAGTTGTTCAGTTTCAAATACGTGGCACCTCTGACTGCTATTGCATTTAATTGTTTCATTAAAGTTTAGTGATTTGAATTTCAAAATGTCAGAGGGCAGGGGAGATAGCTCAGTAGAATAAGCACTTGCCTGGAAAGCACAGGGTCCTGAGTTCAATCCCTGGTACTGAAAAAAAAAATTCAAGACAAAATGTCAGAAGTGAGAATTATGTTACTGATAATTAAATAGTATAATTAAACCCTCATGAGAACTACAGTATTATTTTCAGAAGGACGTCTAATTTCAAAGAAGGGGAAAATCATTGTCATGTTTAATTTCCTAAATAAGAATAAGGTCTTTTTTTGTTTAGTTATAACTTGAATGCAGAGAATTATCTCTTTAGTTGAAGTAGTAGAAACGTCTATAGAGCTTACAAAGGCCTGCGTGGCTATAGAGATAACATGGTGTCTAATAGACTGCAGAGTTGTGGAAAATGAGTATGAAAGGCAAACAGAAATATGTATTTGATGTAATTAGATCTTCATCCAAGAAGTGTCACAAAGGAAGAGGTGTTCTAATCTGTATAAAGAGTAGCTTGTGCTTGACTGGTGATTGTTACTAGGACCCGTGTTGAAGTTTGGAGAAAGATGCACAAGTGAAATTTTAAAGGAAGGTTTCACAGGACATAGTAACAGTGAGTGCATAACTGTAAGTCCATGACAGAGTATGGTTAAACTTCATAATAGCTTTATTCAACCACACCAACTTATACTAAAGAAAGTTGAGTCTTATAATGAGGAAAACAGATTTCCTTACCCTCACCTTTAATTCCTACTTCTTTTGTCAGGAAGGGGTAGTAACTTTCTGTTATTTATTTTTTATGGCCCCATGAGATCTCTTTTATTTAATTCCCTTCCTCTCTTGTGGCTTTGTTATGCACCTAAAAAGGAAGGCTTACGGACTTTTGGCACTTAGATCCTTTGGTAACTCTGAACATTGCTTAATGAAATAAGTACTTAAAGAACAATGCAGGAAAAATTGGCACAATAAGCTTTCCATTAATAATATTTATAATTTTCATGTTAACATGGCTTGTTTAAAAATTTACTTTAAGCAGTGATTAAAGAGCAACAATATTTCTATTATGTTGTTTTTGTGAGGAAATTCATCTGAACAATGAGAGCAATTGTAACTGTATGTCCAGGATGTTGAGAATGCTAGCCTGTGTGTCTCTAGATGATTTAAAAGTCAAATTATTCTTGTTTTCAGAATTGCAGCCTTCCAGAGATAGAGCTTTACCCACAGTCTGACCCAGCATATTGTTCTGTATACATACAGAGAGCAGTTCCTGACTTGGAAGACCTGAACGTTTCTAAATCTGTGTCCTTCACGGTGAAATCAGGAGTGTATGTATCAGTTTCTCTTTATTACAGTGATTGATGGCTACCTACTTTAACAACTTGTGTTGTATTTCCATAGGTAACATAAATATTTCTGAAGTTTTAGTCAGTTAGTTTCACTGACACTCCTGGATGATTACAGGGTTTATAGTGTCTGTCTTTCTATAGATCTAATTAAGACTTTAATGTATGAGTCACAGGAAGAGGTATAGAATCCTCAGACATAGTTCTTGATAGGTGGATTGATTGACTTTTGATCCATTATGTTTTGGAATTTTATTATGGAGGCTGAACTCTTTCAAGGATGTTCTAAGTACTAATACCTTCTCATATAACCCTTCTTTGCTTATTGTGTCTCTTCTGAAATCAGGCAGTGTTAACCTCATGTTATAGAGTAGTGATTTGCATCAGGCTATTAGCTGGTCAGTGCTGACTTGATATTAGGCCTGTCTGTTGCTAAGGGACCATAGTTGTAGGACCATAGTTCTGAGTTCAATCTTAGTTCACCTCTAGATAGACTCTTATTACAAAACTGGATGTCCGACTCAGTAGATCCTTTTCCATCTTTCATTGCTTGTGTCTGCTGCAATTCTGGGGTCACTATAGGACAAATTTGTCTCCTCCAACCATTAATTAAACTCTTGAGCAGGCTTCATAATTGACCCTATTCATGAGACATGTGTGTAATTATAACATTTAACTGGGAGATATGTGGGTTTTGGGGGAATCTTATTTCCTGTACTATTCTCGAAGTAGCCAACAGAACCAATAATGATTCTGAAAATGTAGGTCAGAATATAAAATGCCTAGTTTAATTCCTACATCTGATTGTCCCAGCTTTTTAAAAAATGAGATATGGTGGAGTGGTTTTAAATTTTCCATTATATTATACTTGAATTAAAGGTACTACATGTTCTACGTGTTAGAAAATTTAAGAAAAGTAATGCTTAGCATTATTTGACAGATGGAAAACATGTTATTAACTCTTTATTTTTATTTTTATTTTATATTTTGTATTTTAGAGAAGGGTCTACAGGGTGTTCAGGGTCTCACTACTAAATCGGACTCATAGTGATCTGCCTGTTTACAGCCTCCCAAGAGCTGGGATTACAGGGGTGCGCCACCACGCCCATTCTCAATTGGCCTCTCAGCATGCCCTGGGGGTGGAGCCAGCACTGCAGGCCTGGGGTTCGAACTCCCAGCCCCTGCACCTGCTTACAAGTGCTTTAATCCACTGAGCTATTTGGCTGTCCCTATTAATTCTTGTTATATGCTGTTTGGCTAATTTCTTTGGGTGTGTTTTAGTGGTATAATCCAGCAATGAAGAATTTTTCTTTTTTCTTTTTGGTAGTCTTTTTTACTCTTAGAGTCAGACAAAATTATTACTGCTTAACTAACATTTATTTCTTATTTAGTTGGCTTGCCTACCCAGATATTAATTTTAAGGGTCAAGCTACAGTTTTAGAGGAAGACCATGGGCTCTTTGAGATTTCTGCAGCAGAAATGAAGTCATTGCAACCACTTCAAATGGTAAGCAAATTAAAGTTGAAATGTGTTTTTCCAAGTATATATGAATCCAAATTAAATAACTTTGTATATACACCTTAGGAAATAAATGTTTTCTGCTGAATTGGTAAACTGTGTTTTCTGTTTGTATTGTAGAAACTGAATTAACTTTTTGTTTTGCCAAGTATTTCATAAAATATGCAGTTTCCTTATATATACTGTAAGAATTTTTTTCTGTAAAACTTCTAATTATTTAATAAAGTCCTGAAGGTGTTTTATTGATGTTTATTAGAAAATTGCTTGTAGTATATTATACTCTTCCACTTCAGTAATGAATGATAAGCTCAGCATTAATAATAAATGAGTAATTCTGTCAGTGTTTTCTTAAAGATAGTAACTACAGGCAGTCTGCTTTTGGTTATAAATCTCTTCTGAGGGCAGACTGTTCAACTAACATTTGCTGTGTAATAAAATATTTTTGCTGTTCTATGCCTTTTATTTTATTTTATTTTATTTATTTTTTGGGGGGAATACCAGGAATCAAACTTAGGTTCTCATGCTTGCCGGCAGATGCTGCACCACTGAGTTAAGTCCCCAGCCTCTGTTCTATGCCTTTTAAAACAATAGAAACCAGGCCAAATTAAGAAATTGCACAATATAGAGTAGTATTTGATACAAGATTATTACAGAACTAGGGATTTTGTGAGCAAGGGATTTTTAAAAAAAATTTTATATAACCCAGTGTCAAAAGACATGAAATGTGGTGGCACATGCCTGTAGTCTCAGCAGTTGGGAGGCTGAAAATAAGAGGATCGTTATAAGTCCAGTCTGTGTAGTGAGACCCTGTAGACCTGTACTAAATACGTTTTTTTTTTTTTTTTTTTTTTAAAAAAAGAACAACTGAGATTGTATTCCCCCTTTAAAATCTATGTAAAAATAATCTCTGGTGATGGGGGGAAAAAGAACATAACATAGGAACAGCTATGTAAATTCAGGGGTACGTGGGATGTCTTCATCAAGATATCTGAAAATAAATCAAAGCAGCAATAATAAAATGATGAGGGGCCAGCAGATAACTCAGTGAACTAAAGCACCTGCTTAGGCAAGCTTAGGTAAGCCCAGGGACCATGGTTCGATCCCCAGTACCAAATGCCATGCCAGCCCCACCCCTGGGGTGGCCTGAGCTGTCCACAGTCCAGGCTTGAGGCGCATGACTGAAATCCCAGTGCTGGGAGACTGAAAGCAGGAGGCTCACCATGAGTCCAAGCTGTGTAGTGAGACCCTGCAACAACCAAATACATATTAATTACTAAATAAATTTTTTTAAAAAAGACATGAAATATAATTTTTAAAAAGTGTTGCCAGAACTTAGAAGAGGAAGTGTGAATAGCTCAATGCTCTCTCTACTTGAAACTCTCAAGTAATTATAGAGGAAATGTTTGAAAGATCACCTTAAAAATTTATTCTGTCAAGTGTGGTTACTAAGTCTACTAATAATTTCACTTTTACTTGAAGTGTTATGCAGTAATATTAAATCTTTAATTGGTCACACATATTAAGGTCTAAACCTCAAAGTTCTCTTTGTAATTGTAAACTGGAACCTTTTTAAAATTGGCCACTACATTGACATAAAGGTACCTAAGTTAGTCTAAGTTGGCTTGTAGTTCTGTACTTAAAGTTTACATTTGGCTCCAATTTGACTGATATGTATGTAGTCTTTACTAAATAGGTTTTACTTATTATACATATGGAACATGGTTCCTTCAAAGTACTTCAAATATTTACATAACTAATATTAAAATATCTTTCATCATTAGGGTGGACTAAAAGTGGAAATGCCTATGAATTTAAAGGTAAGTCTTGAACCAACTTTTATAGTGTGCTAAAAAATACTGAATACTAATTTTTAAGTATTTTGAATTACTAGAATAAAACAGTTGCCTGAATATGTGATAATACCTAGCTAATACTTGCTGGGATATGACTGGGATTCTTTTTGAATGGCAGTTGAGTTGACATACAAATCGGAAAGTCTGTACTGACACTTCCTCCAAATCCAGGGGTCTGCGCTGTGACTAAGTGTTAGATTTTATTTGGGGAGGGGTGTGATAGGGATACTCAGAACAAGGCCAGTAAAGATTATACACTTCCTACCAGGTAATGTCAGTTTGTAAGTATAAACACTTACCGGAAGAGTAGAGGCAATGAATACTGGATAATAGTGGTATTAAGAGCAAGTACATTAGAGGAAG